ATATATAGGCCATTTATTTAAGGCGGTTGTAAACATAGCGTGTTTTGCTTTGAACAGAGCCATGCTTTAAGTAGAGGCCACGAGTTCAGACCGGAAAAGCAAGGGGAAATCCCTTTTTGTTTGTGAGTGAGTGCTGGTGCAGGCCGGTGCCAGTCACGAGTTGTTTACAGCCGGGGTTAAAAGTTCAAGGTCAGTGAAGTGGAAATCCCCGGCGCTAGTCAAGGGTTGTTTATCCAGCGAGCGAGCGGCGCCGGGGTCAAAAGGGCGTGTGGTCCAGAACTCTCAGTTTCCTACTACTCAAGCTCCGAAAAAAACTATATTAATACAGTAAATATTGTAATTCGTTGATTACACCTACCTTGGAAGTTTTACTGATAGCAGCAAAAATACATTGCCGTGGTCTCCATTGACCAAGTTACAGTAAGTAGTGGAAAGACACTCATCTGCTTTTAGTTGGTCTTTATGTTGTTCAAAACTTGTGAACAATCCATACACCTTGGGGTTGTCTTTTGTGATGACGTCAACAGCCCAGGACTTGTACTTGTATTAGTATTTCTTTCGTTTGATGTATCATATCCCCATTTATGTGGCTCAAGTACAAACATATGTATCGATACAATAAAGAGTACGTGGCTAAAGTGTAAAAATATATAAAATACATCACCATGACACAATATTGCAGTATAAGGTAAATATATACAATTTAAGAAAACCTGAAATATAAAATTTAAGACAGAACTCTTACCGTGAATATAGATGTCAGAGCTCAGCCAACTTAGGTCTTGTATTTACGTGCAAATGTTTTTATCCCCAGTTTTGAATACCAATTGAAGTAAGAGGGCTATTTCTTTTTATTCTGCTTAACTTCCTTTACATGTAATTAGCATTTTGGGCTTTTGGTTTCGTGGGTTTGAGTTGTACCAGGGGGGAACAAAGGTAAGTTATTTCTTAAGCCAAGGAGGTCTTTTGTTTGAATGAATGCTTGTGCTGGGTGTGTGTGCAAGTGGTGGATGCAGTGGTATATAAAAGGACTGCACCATCTTTTATCCAGGGCCACTTGTTATGCTATTCTAGTGATGGTAACGTCGCCATGGGTTCAAGAGCTCTCTTGCATTTGGCTAATTCCATGCCATTTGGAGCAGTTTGGCTCCAGTGGTTATTTTGAAGTCAAGATTCAAAATTGAAAGCCTTCATAGAGAGAGGCCATCTTGTATATGCAGTAGTTTCCAACTACAGTGCTGAACTTTGGGCCGGCGACAGTGACTTTAAGCAACAACAAGGGCCAAAACCAAAAGCCCAAAATCCAAGGCAGGAATTTCCTGGAATTGGTTGTCTAAGGGGTGCAGTGTACCCTCTTCAGGGAAAGCCAAATCTTGACGGGGTTGGTGTATTAAGGAGGAACCACGTGAGGCGGGTCTGAGAGACCACGAAGCGAGACTTGGGAACGACAGGGAACGTAGACAAGCCTGATGAGGGATAGTGGACACCGTTCGTTCAGGATGGACGATTCAGGCAAAGAGTTGCCAAAATAATTAGTGGCTTACTTCATAAATTTGTGTGCCACATATTGCTGCATTGATTATAAATTTTGTTCCCTGCTATTGTATTACATGTATAGATTATTGTACCTGGCTTGTAATTGAGTAATTTACCATGTCTGATATTTTGCCTTGGTGGCAAGCTGCGATTGTTAATATGTCACCTTGGGGAGAGTTGTGGTGATACTGGTAATAGCCCATATAAGATGCTGATATGGTTTAGGAATGATTTCATTTGAGACTAGTGTGGTTGTCTATACTTAATTACATTAATATTGCCGTGTTGAGATATATTTATGTGTTAATAACTGAGTATTTTGCAGTGCCTGGAATCAAGGTTATTAATTCAGGAATTATTGTTGTGGAATATTGGCGGCTGGTTGGAGACCAGGATTGTGAAAGTGCGATCCCTGTTTGGGAAACAATTCAAATATATGTAGTAGGGTCATCTTTCGGAAGCGGAGCATTATTTTAATATAGGAATTGTACAGCTAATAAATCAAATACTCTAGGTGAGAATCAACAGATTTTTCGAATTTTTATCCCTTGACAGTATATATTTAAGACGACATATTTAATTGTGAAAGTGTTGAACTTGGGTCAATTCGGAATAAATTGTAAAAAAACAAAAACAAATTAGTTTGTTTGATGGCCTAACGACTGAGGTCTCACAATAGATAATAGACTATTTGATCAGATGGCTGAAAAAAAAGAGTGGTAGTCGTGTACGTATACTGTACAGTAGGTATGGGGCTGTTCGTTCCGACTGTAATAATCATAACAACGTGCAGATGCAGAAGGTTATTTGTTTACACAATGTCACGTGACAGCAATGATACACTAGAAATGTCATCACGGAATTTATTGACATCCTACATATTTTGGATGAGAAAAAAAGACAAAACATGGACGAAATGTCAATATCCTAATATTATTTATTATGAATTATCAACTTTATAGAAAGCAAATGACAAAATCATACTCGATAGCATAATAACAGGAACAAACGAGATGAACGCTGTGTTTGTTGGTAAACAGACACTGGCCTGTTTTGGGTTTTTGTGTAAATGCTAGTTGTGTGTTTGAAAGATATAGATGATTTGTGGGGTTTTTTTATAAATGAGACCATAGGTGGTGAGGTTTGTGGCATATGTGTGCATGTTTGCTGCATTTCCTGTGTGTACAAAGTCTACGGGGGAAATGAAATATTCGAATTTCAATTAAAAGTCACGTGATGACGTCATCACGACATCTTTCATTTGATAAAATATTTGCTACAGGGTTTTTACTTGTAAATGTGATGGGCATTGAACATCGCTAAGTGACCAAAACAAGGGCCTAAATCTGCGTACACATTCAATGGGGAAAATTAAATATTCGAAATTGAATTAGAAATCACGTGATGACGTTGTCGTGACGTCATTCATTATCTGTAAACCTTCTATTAGGGTCTTTGTTGGCTATCACTTTGTCTACGATCAAACATCGTAAAGTTACCAAAATCGTGGCTTGAAAACATGTACAAAGTCAATTGGCCATAAACTCGTTGGCAGAAAACACTGCTCGTTGAAGTTCATGTCATGTGATTTTCCCTTAACCTGATTATTTTTTACGAAATATTACTTCATATTCGGACTCTTAGGCATATTTTAAGTCAAATAACAAAGCGTAAAGTACCCGATTTCTCTTTGGTTCTTATAGAAAATTTACAAAGACTTACCCGTTCACTCGTGTTAATTAGAAAAATGTGTGCAAAAAATATGAGGAAAAACATAATATTCAATAATCAATATAAAATAAGGTTATTACGTCATCATGACGTCAGTCCTTTCCAATAAATCCTGCATCAGGATCTTTGTTTGCTATCACTTTGGCAATGATGAAACATCTACAAGTTACCAAAATTGTCGCTGGAAAACGTGTACAAAGTCAATGCGTCATACACTCGTTTGCAGAAACACTGCTCCTTTAAGTTCATGTCATGTGATTTGCACTTAAACTGAACAATTTTTATGAAATATTACTTCGTATTCAGACTCAGCCATATTTTAAATCAAATAATGGCGCGTAAAGTACCCGATTTCTCTTTCGTTCTTATTGTAATCTTGCGCCGAAGTAAAGGACTACCCGTTCACTCATGTTAATTAGAAAAACGTGTCCAAAACCTATGGGGGAAAACTATTTAAAAATCAATATAAAATAAGATGCTGACGTCATCATGACATCAGTCCTTTGTAATAAATCTTGCATAGGGTCTTTGTGGACTATCACTTTATGAACGATCAAACATTGCAAAGTGTCAAAAATTTTGGCTCAATAACGTGTACAAAGTCAACGGCTAGAAACACGTGTGCAGGAAAACTGCTCCTTTAATTTTATGTCACGCGATTTTTGTCTGAACTGGAATAAAATTATGAAATATCATATTGTGGCGGTCGGGTCTGACGATGCCCGGGGTTGCCCTCGGCCCACCCGACGAGCGGCAGTGGAGTAGGCCAGGGGTGCAGGTCCGTTCTGCGGCAGTCTACCGCCAGGCGGTCGCAGACGACTTCTAGTCACTTCCTCGGTACTGCAGGATCGGGCAATGGCAA